AGGTGGCAGGGTCAAGGCCCACTTGCCGCAGCTCGTCGGTAAGCCTCTTGATGCACTTCTTGAGCTGCGAGTATGAGATAGCCGAGTCGACCCACTCTGGCGGGAATCCTTCATCCCGGAGCGTCTGCTTGAATAGATGGCCAAACTTCATGTTTAGGGCAGGGGTGACGAGGTACCGTGGTAGGGCTGGCCGATCAGAAGGCGCAGAGGAGGCACGTGGGGAGCTGAGTGGTTGCGACCCTTAGCGGGGTACCTTCCACGCTTGTTCGGCCACAGTTCCGGGTCGGGCTAACGAAGCGTTCCAGCGATCACCGGCCTGGGATATGCAGATGCGGGTGTGTAGGAGAGAAGGATTATTGGGAACGAAGCGTCGAAGAGTCCCAGATGTGTGGTGGTGGGGAAGAAATGGTGTTGGATGAGAGAATTACGACTTGTCAACAAGGGCGATTTGCTCCACGGGTCATGCGCCTGTGTGCCTGGAAAGGATGCCGCTAAATGGAGACCCCAGAATTCGATGGAGATTCGTCTTAGGCCATCACGAAGACATGGGGATGCGCCTCTTTTATGAAGCAGAACATAGCATGGCGTGTGCCGGCTTTCGGCGCTGTCTAGACTGCGGTGGCTCCAATAGCGCTCTTCTTCAATCACTGTCTGCTCAAACTTTTCGCCTTCGCAGTCCGCGACCAATCAACGCCAAGCGCACAGTCATAGGCGATTTGCTTGCAGTGACGCAACATGGCTCTTCGCGACTCACCCAACTAACACGATGTGAAAGCCGGGGTAGTCTCGGTGTAGAGCAGGCTGTCAGCACGCGCACCGAGAAGCTGTGAAAGCTGCACTACAGACTTATATGCTGTCACTCTCCTATACACGCCTACACAACTGAACGGCAGCATCCTGCCACTGCCACTGCAGGTAGTCCGAGACCCGAAAATCTCGAATACGTCCGAACCGTACACCTAGCTGCATCGAGACAAAGCCACTATGGGTGCATCACAGTCCACCGGTGGCGGCGACGCGCCTAGTAATGCCGGCGAAGTTAAGACAAGTTACTACGAACTACTGGGTGTGGAGCGCAATGCCACTCAAGATGAGTACGTAACAAGACACACGTAATCTATTCAATACTAACATCTACAAGACTCAAGAAAGCATACCGCAAGAAAGCGCTCGAGCTGCACCCCGACCGAAACTACGGCGATGTCGAACGTACCACTGCCCTCTTCGCCGAAGTCCGATCCGCATACGAAGTCCTCTCAGATGACCAGGAGCGCGCTTGGTACGATGCACACGAGAGGGATATACTGCGGGGTACCACTGGCGAGGAGACCGGCGACCATTACCAGGGTGACATGAAGGTCACGACAGCCGACGATATAACGCAGATGATGGGCAAGTTCAGGGGGAATGTGGACTTTTCAGACTCGCCGAACGGCTTCTTTGGCTTCGTACGAGAGACGTTCGAGCAACTTGCGCGCGAAGAGGAGTATGCCGCAGACTATGACGACCTCGATGTACCGGATTACCCTAGCTTTGGTCATAAGGATGATGAGTACGAAGGTGTTGTGCGCGACTTCTACTCAGCATGGAACGGCTTCGCGACGGTGAAGAGCTTTGCATGGGTGGATGAATACAATCCCTCTCTTCAACCTGATCGCCGCTATCGAAGGGCTGCTGAGAAGGAGAACCAAAAGATCCGCGACGAAGGCAGAAGGGCGTTTAATGATGCGGTCAGAACGCTGGTTGCGTTCGTACGCAAGCGAGACCCACGGTATACCCCGAACACACAGACGGCAGAGGATAAGGCCAAAGCACAGCGGGATGCTAGGAAAGCCCAGGCTGCACGGGCGAGAGCTGCGCAGATCGCCAAGATGGAGCAGGAGGAGCAGGCGGTGCCAAGTTGGGCTACCGCACGTCCGGCGGATGAACTTGAAGAGGAAAGCGAAGGTGAAGTCGAGGAAGACGTCTACGAGTGCGTTGCGTGTAACAAGACATTCAAGAGCGAGCGGCAATACGATGCCCACGAGAAGAGCAAGAAGCATCAGAAAGCAATCCAGGCTCTCAAGAGAAAGATGCAAAAGGACAACGCCCATCTGGACTTGGATGAAGACGCCCTCAAAAGTGATGAGATCCTACCGGTGGAGGATGAGTTTGCGATGGAACCCGAAGTCTCTGGTGGTGGAGACTCCGATGCATCCGTGAAAAACCTCGCGACAAAGACGAATGAGCTTGACATGGACGACCACAGTACAGACGAGGAAGAAGGCCGTGTGGACCAAATGGCACCTAGTAATACAATGTCTGCATCGCCCGTCGACTCAGAAACAAGCTCAGACGTTGACGACGAATATGCTTCGCGCTCCGAAATAGAAGCACGACTTGCTGGCGCCAGCACAGAACCCTCCACAGCACCCACCGAAGATCTCGACTTTAAACCTGAAGATTCCACAGAACCAGAAGTCACCGCCCAACCGGAACCCAAACTCGGCAAGGCTGCGTTGAAGCGCATGAAGAAGGCTGCGAAACAGGCTGAGAGCGAAGAGCCCGATGTCAAAAACAAGTGTAATGGCTGCAGCGCTGGTTTCTCGTCCAAGACTCAATTGCATCAGCACTTGAAGAAGCATCCCGAACATGCGGCGCTGAAATCTGTCGCGCAATCGGGTGGTGGGAAGAAGAACAAGAAGCGGTAGCAAAAATGATGGCACGAATTATGATCTGTATGAGAGACATGGTATTGATGTATGATTTGCTTTGGCATAGCGCAGGTGTTTGCTAGAGGTTAGATGATTAGTTAGACTTGCATTGAGCGGTTGTTCGCATTTTCAAGGCGTCTTTAGAAATGCTGTCGCAGAAGTCACGTTCAGAACAGAAGCTGTCGCTGATATACGTTCACCACTTGCCATCAGTAAAGTATACCATGTCCTCTCATATCCAGTTTCATGTTCCTGGAGGTTTAATTACTACAAACCACCTCAGGATGAGACTCGGAAGCCTGCTGGATTTCACTGGAAGATTCTCCCTTGTTTGACACGCAATCATACCCAAGCAAACATAGACATACGACTTCACAGCAACGGCTACATGGCTTTCCAACTTCTTGATTTCCCCGACCGATTCTCACGGAAATTGCCAACAACCATCCGCACGCTGCCCGTCATGTCGCAGGATCAGGAGCTTGTACGATATCAGCGTCTACTCACACTCGACGATATCGGCGGGACAGCCAATGACTTGGGTATCGAGGCTACACAAGAAGAGCTGAAAAATGTGCCGTTGGTGTGGTGGGACGTCAAACAGCACATGGACAACGAGAGTGCCGACTTACAACACTATGCTGTTCTTTGCTCTTCAGGAGTGAAATGCGCAAAGAGACAAAAGAATAACAGTTGAGAGTAGCGAGCACTGTGATCTCTTCGCCCGACGAAGTGTTGGTACAAACAGTTGTTTTCGTTGCTTGAAAATGCCCCAAATGATGCATATGTTGAGAATACCGTGAGGAGAGTCTATGTGAGCGCGTCCGAGCGCTCGATAAGCTTTGGCAAGCCATGGGTGCATTCGCGAAGTGGAAGTTCTTCCGTGGAGGTAGTGCATATGCGTTTCCACACCCCACTACGCCCCTGCAAGTGCTATCGCTATACACATTATATCTCGGGTAGTCGCCCGACGGAACTCTCGCATTGCCACTTGTGTAGTCATGTTCGCGTTGCTTTTGATTCAAGGCTACCAGAAGGCGTGCAAGGCAAGACTAGCGTCTTCAACGGTTGAGGAGTTCCTTTTTCTGGCGTGTGGGTTCTCGAACATCAGATAATCATGCCTCAAGGTTCTGATGGTATTGCCGTGTGCCGGGTCGAGCATGCGAGCGAATGCGTGAGAGCAGATAAATGATCAACCACCGGGATTAGGCCATTCCATTTCACAGTCAGGCATTCTGTCAATGTCCTGTGCCGCACTCAGCCGTTGTTCCACCAGCCCGTGTCGTATCGGCAAATGAACGATTGTGTTCCTATGTCGGCGAGTATGCAATGTTTCATGAGCAAGAGTGACGATTGTTGATAGGTGGCAGGATCTGGGTTTCTCCTTGACATGGCTCCGAACACCAAAAAGGTCATTGATAGTAAGATAGAGGGGCATTCGGGTCTCTATGCGGCGCAGGGTCGAACGGGTTGGGGCGCATTGATCCTCGTCGGATGTTGCGGATCCCACCTTCCTGATTGTGATGCTCGCCTTGCGACGTCCCATCACCTCCATGTACAGTTAGCTGAGGGTATAGAGCTGCAGATGCCAGGGGATAAGTCCACCTGGAGTGTTAAGCTCCCGCGCTAAGCCGCGTGGGCCCTTGAACAAGAGTTCTCCCATTGCATGGCGTTGCTTGACGTCAATGCATCGGGGACTGCTCCAAGACGTTTCCTTCGCGCAGTTTTAGTTCTACGGTACTGGGTTGGACTGCAATATGGCGGTTCGCGGCCGGCGTGATTGTTGATGCCCGTTAGCGTTCGCGGTCAGAGTCGCTCGCGTGCGCGTGCTCTCGCCAGCTAGCCAAAGACACGACTAGCCGAGGCTGATGCGTCTTAGCGCCAGGGTCTGACGGAAGCTTCTACCCCTGAACGATCCAGGCGAGCAACTCCTATCCACTCTTTCCTGACACCTTCAGATCCTTTTGATCGTATTTCAGGCCATGCACTTATCGTGTCCGGCTCTAGCGGCTCTCTGATAGGGCCTTGATCGAACTGTCAGCTCGTACTTGCCCAGTCTGTCATGGTGTGGGGATAGCCCAGGGGTTCGCATGGACACCCTCCACTACTAATGGTTAGCTGTGCTCAGTCGACGCTTGTCAGAATGGACGCTCGTATCAAATGGGGCACTATCTGAAGGCGGCTTTTCTCTCGAGTCTTGTCCATTTCTTGGGATTCTTGTCTCTCTCCAACTTCGCCTCTCGACCTCACAACTTACCCTCAGTCATTCGTTAATACAGTCGCGCGTTGTTCACTCGTTATGCAATCATGATGCCAAAGGCGTACCGTCTATCTTTCTCGCACCTCGTCTTTTACATCTCGACCTTTGTGATCGCAACCCAGTTATGGTCCATATGGGGGCAATCGAAACACAACTATATTCCTTTTTCACACCATAGGAATCTTCAGCGAGACTGGGACTTCAACGCCGACCTGCATGCCAATGTGCACACACTCAGCCATGACCAATGCGATTCCGCCTTTCCAAAGCTGTATCACAGCTTAGATCAGTCGGTTAGCCTAAGGCAAGGCAGAAAGGTGCATATTCAGGATATCGAAATCGATCAGGGAAGATGCATGCTACGGGTTATGGTATACGAGGGCGAGGTACGTCTATACGCGTCTGGTCAATTTCCGGGCTACAACTAACCTGCCACTCCTAGCTGTTTGTCGTCGATGCCGGAAAGCCAGAGGAATGCTACGTCACGAACGGAAACGAGAGAGAACGCATTCTAGGAACCCTAGCACAAATCGACCGCGCCGTCTCCACCACCTCAACATCCGACCCCGCGATCCCAAACGTCGAATTCTCCCTCTCGCTCGACGATCTGCCACGGCGATCTAGGAAACAGGGAACATTCTTTGGGTACACCCGGAAGGAGGGTCCGGAGTACAAGGACATTTGGATGATGCCAAACTACGCGTACTGGGCGTGGAACTATACCCATGCTCCAAGCTGGAACAGCATCAGGAAAGAAATTGAGCAGAAGGAGACCGAATTGCCATGGGCGAAGAAGGACCCTAGGATCGTATGGCGGGGCAAGGTCAAGATGGCTAAGCTGAGGAAGGAGCTGGTCCGAGTCAGCGAAGGCAAGGAATGGAGCGACATCAAGCCTGTGGTCATCAACAACGCCAGCGACCCGCATACCAAGGACGTTATGAATCTGAGGCAATTCTGCGGGTAAGAGACAAAGCTGCGACATGGGTATGAAACCGTACTGACCGTCTTCTAGATACAAGTTCACCGTCCAAACCGAAGGTACCTCGTACTCCGGCCGCCTTAAGTACCTCCAGCTTTGCCGCTCAGCCCTCGTTACACACCCTCTCGAATGGCAAGAGTTCCACACTCACCTAATGAGGCTTGCTGGTCCCGACGTGAACTACATTGAAGCGTCCGAGAACTTTGGAAACCTCGAATCGGCTATGGAGTACTACCGTGCACATGACAACGAAGCTGAGGAGATTGCAAAGAACAGTTACGAGACCTTCACCAGAAGGTATCTGACACCAGCGGCAGTGACTTGCTACTGGAGACGGCTGTTTTGGTCATGGGCGAGTGTACAGGGATATGAGCCACAGTTGTACGTACCTGACAAGGACGGTAATTTGGTCATGAGAGGTACACCATGGACTGCCTTTGCGGCCAATTGGCCCAAGGATCCTGCAGCTATTCCGTGAGCGGGAATAAGAAGTGTTAGGAGAGGCGTTGCATGAGCATTTGGAGTACTTGGTTTTATGCTTACGATACCCGCGTTCAAGCGTTCCAATAGACACGCATTATTATCTACGTTTACAGTAGTCACTTGAGGCGGAGCTTTGTCTTTTTCAGTCGTGTTGTAGATGGCTTCGACCGCCTTTGTCCTGCATCAGAGGATTCAAGCGAGTAATATAGGTTCATTAACCCGCACTCACATGTACATCTACCATTGTACTAAATGTTGACGCTGGACGCCCAGCTCCGACTATAACAAGGATTTGTCGTGACTGCAAATCCTACTTGACGGACTAGACTTAACCTGAATGATCTCTGGTTCACAGCTGATCGGACAGCATGTTTGACCTATACCCTGGTCTTTACCGCTATATCTTGCAGTTTGGCGCACGCTCGTTTGCGGCTCAGGCTAGTGTGCCTATCTATGCATAAACACACGCATGCTATAATTTGATAAGATCCTAGAGCAGAGACTTTGATTGAGTGGGTAACTGTGTAGAGAGAGGTGAGGTCATTCTACATGAGGGTAATAGTACAAAGGACCAAAAGACAGTCGACAGCGCTGAGCTCTGCAAGATAACTTAATGAACGTCCGCAAACCACTTGTGCGCCAAAGCCTCAGAAGCTGTGATGCGTCGTTTCGGGTCCATACTCATCATCTTCGTCAAAAGATCTTTCAAATCTTCGTCGAGATCGCTCCACAGGCAGAGTGGACGTCTCGGATAGTCTTTGCTGAAATTCGCCATCACGAAGTTCAGGTAGCCAATCCAGGGGCTATCTTCCAAGTAAGTGATCAACCCTTCCATATCTTTTAGGTCGCTAAAATATAAGACCTGATGTCGAACGACGATGGCCTCGATTGGATTGTCTTCTGTAGCCTTTTTTGGATCTACAGCGAGAACTGCTTCCTTTGTCACGGCGTATATGCACTGAGAAATTGAGTTACTCATTGAAGCGCGATACAAGTGGTAGGCTACTTACAACCAGACCGAAGGAGAATATGTCTGTCGGCTTTTGTATCGCTGCCGCTGCGTGCGCCTCTGGACTGCGCCACATCCAGTTTCCCCACTGCCTGCCACTGATGTAATGGTTATCCGGGAGGTGAACCATATCTTCCATGTCAGCAATCTGCACTTCTTTGACTTCTAACTCCCCTCCTTGATCGTCCCAATCCAGCAATATGTTGTTTGGCTTTATATCGGTGTGCGCCATATCTTTGGCGTGTAGCGCTGCGAGCCCACGCAGAGCGTCTCGAAGGACGAGTTTTGTTGTGGGAAGCGGAACGTCTTTCTGAACGAAAGACAGTAGGTGGTCACGTCGGTATGGATGTATGAATGTGCAATGTTCTGAGTCGGTGTCCTCGGCGACACGTACGTGAGGCGTACCGCGAAGAGTGTCAAACATGGTCTTGCAATGTTTGTAAGTCTTCTCAGGGACTGTCTTGAGTACGTATTTCCGATCCTCCGAGCTGCAAAAGACGTCAGACGAATATCATGTTGTTTTCTTCGGATGGTGTCAACTAACGTGGCAAGATACACACGTCCATGGTTGCCCGGCCGGTCTTGAAGTAGTCGTTCGACAACGTAACGGCGACCCGACTGCCCAATTACTCGCGTCAGGGCAGCGGCTCTTGCGATGGGGGTATTGGACATTCGTGTTGATAGTCAACAGAGTTGAACAGACCCAATGACTTGAGCTCTAGATGGCGACTTGTAGCAATGGAAGGCGCGTTCAATTGGGTAGCAACGAATGTGAGAGCGGACAAATCGTGATTCGAGACTGAACTGCACTAGTAGCGCTTGTATTGCAAGGATTTCACATGCGTGTCAGGTCGTTGCCTGAAGATGACGCACCCAGCGCCCACAGTCGTTACCCCGGACCCCTCATCTCGGAATCTCGCTAAACTTTGGAAGGCACAGTCGGGTTGCAGGAGAGAAGAGGCAGAGCAGTGGAAGGCGTGGCAATGGGAGCAGACAGCGTATAGCAATCGCCTGCTGAAGTGAGAACGTAGTGCTAGACACAAACGATCGATGAAAGTGTAGTGGTGTCTTCTCTCACCAACTTGATAGAGTGATTTGGCGCGTGCACACGTGAACACGTGATGACGCGCCTGACGTGCTGCGCCTCCTCCCCGATCTTTGCGACGGACATGCATCGACTCCACGACTACACGCCATCTCTAATGACGGTGTATAGGTACGCGCATGCTGCTAAACTTCAGGACCGCATATCCCTCTCTTTACTAAACACTGTCAAGCTGCTGAAAACCACATCGCGTTCCCCTCCGCTACTCCGCAACCCCACACTAGCCATTATGCCGCCCAAGGCAACACCGCCCGAATTCCCCGTACAGGCGTTTCCTACGTGTACAGATTTCGAAACCTTTCTCGAGCGCGAACATGCCACGGCTCCCGGCCTCTACGTGAAGCTCGCAAAAAAGAACTCTGGCATACCCTCGATTACCGCCGCGGAAGCCGTCGAAGTCGCGCTGTGTTATGGCTGGATAGATGGTCGCGCCAACGCTTGCGATGAGACCTGGTGGACGGTACGCTACACACCACGGAGAGCGAACAGTATGTGGTCGCAGAAGAACGTCGGGACCGTGGCACGTCTTATTGAGACTGGTCGGATGCGTCCCGCTGGCCTGGCAGCCGTTGATGCCGCAAAGGCAGACGGACGATGGGATCGTGCATACGCCGGGTCTGCTACAATGGTAATGCCTGAAGATCTCAAGAATGCGCTTGCTGTGGTACCTGCCGCTGAAGCTCACTGGGAAGGCATGAACAAGAGCGATCGATATACGACACTACTGAAGGTACAGACCGGCACAAAAGCTGGAAGGCCAAAAAGAATAGAGAGCATAGTTCAAGCGCTGGCGACAGGGAGACGTTCAGGCAGTACTACTACTGCAGACAGGACAGCTCGGAAGGTTGCCAAGAGGGCTAAAAAGACCAGCGCGAACGCCGAACCCCACATGCAAAAAACAGCACCTTCACCCCTACGAACAGGACTGCGACGACGCAGGGACTGAGATCTCCTCCTAGCTATGCTCATAGTGTACAGCAATCGACGAGTATACGATGACAACATGTTGATGCAAAAAAGACGGACTTCGGCTTTACAGACCGTCTCTGCGACGATAGAGCGCTTGGCTTCGTCCCCCTTTGAGAGATTACGTACTGCGAGGATGACTTTGGAGGCACCGTTGGCAGCGAACTTGGTGGTGGCAGGCAAGCCGATCCCAGTATTCGAGCCAGTGATGATCACCGTCTTGCCCACAAAGGACGATTTTGGATCTTTAGGCGGGTTTTGCTTAGAGAATTGCGACAGTTCGACTGTGCCATCTATTGGTACTTGCGCCAGATGAGTTCAATAACAGCCCGAGAGTGCCCTAGATTAAGCTCGTATCTACAAGACTAGCTGGGATACACTAGCGATCGGGTAACACTACTATCACATGTTGCAGCGATGCCGTTTGAGTGTCTGCATGCTCGAATTTGCCTCTCCCACATGCCGATTCCCAATCAGCTTTGGTCAAAATCTATCATAGACGACAGGACAGCACTCCTAGATGAAGACCTAGTACTCGGGTAGAAATTGGATATGACACACTATTTCCAGAGTCAACAGGTGTGATTGCGGTCAAACGTGGCCGATATCATGGGTGCCGGACATAGTGAACTTGGGCAGTTATCTCCGGCTGCTCACGCGCCGCCACAAGTCGTCACTACCATTCCATCACAAACGCACCACAACGACCCAAACAATGACCCTAGCCCGCACTTACTTGATGCTTTTGGCTCATCGTTACAACACTATTCTCCATAGCCGTGTCAAGGGCAACACCCGCCCAGGGCGTCATTCTGTGCGCCGTCGGGCGACGCGACGGTCAACTACGCAACCTTGCTGGGGAAGGCAGAGTTCGTGGATCGGTGCCGCACCGCCTCTCACGGTCATTGCCTGCATCGATGCTCTTGGGTATCGCCTCCAACAACCATCGCTATCGCGGTGTCACATGCTAAAATCACATGGAAGGCCGAACAGCTTGTACCACAGCTGATCAGAAGAGCTTGATCGGAACCAGGTACCACCTAATGTCTAGCATCGCAACTCTAGGTCCGACTTCGGCTCTTCCGACAATGTGTCAACGACGATCAGTATAGAAACTCGGCGCACGTATCACAAACGGAACAGTGCAATACCAATCCAAAGGATAAATTGTTCCAAAAACGACGAAGCCAAAACACTACAGGCTAAATGTAGATGTAGCAGAATGGTCCGCCCATGGTGCTCGACGCATCTTCTATGGTGATGGGCCCAGGATATGCTGCCCCCATGCTCAGGGTGTCGTTGAGTGTTGCATTGGGCGAGGTCGGGGTTCCGATGAAGGTAGGTCCATACAAGGCAGTTGTACGCTCACTCGGCTTCAGGTTCTGCCAAATCCAGTAAAGCCTGTCAATCGACGAGTGGTGGAAGAAGAAGTAGGGATCGCCAGGAGATGCTGTGAAATCACCCGCCGGATCGCCGCCAATGATAAAGTGACCGGCCGTGTGCACGCCCATGAAGCCGTTCGCGAAGCTGTTTCCCATTGGCCCACCTTGCAAAACTTCCCAAAACGTTTGGTAGTTGTCACTGTGGAGCAGAGAAACCACGTCGTCGTCCTTCAGCCATCCCTCTCCGGTGAAGCCGTTGATGTCGCGCATGAGACAACGGGGATTGTAGCCTAGGCCAGACGGATCGGGGTTCGGTCGGACACATTTGGATGCAGGAACCAACGGTCCGAGATTGACAGTGAAGTTCGCGAACGGTCCTGAGGTCACGCAGCCACCACCTTGGCCATGCGGAATCTTGATGACTGGTTGATCGTTCGACGGGATTCCAGTCCAAGTCTGATTGCTGCATCCTTTTGCGCCCTGTCCAGAAATCGAAGTCGCAGAGCCGTCGAGCAGAGGCGACTTTGTAGGATCTTTGTGCCATCTGGAGTAGCTGTCTAGATATCGGTGTACGAAATCAGCGTAAGCATCACATGCAGTTCTTACAGAGACACCTACAGTAAGGTTGCGTGCCCTTGTAGCTGCATTCATCGCGCAAAGTCTGCTCATACGCCCAGGTAAAGTATCGGTGCCATGTGAGGAAATTGCCCGTAACGCTAGACATTGGTGGACAAAATCAGTACGTATCTCACATTCATGTTCCAAAGGGAGACCTACTGAATGTTGAAGGTCTGCTGCATGTGGGTGGCCACGAAATCGTCATAGCGATTTCTACAACCGGGGCACAGCTCCTTCGGTGTCTTTGACGGCAGCTCAGTTAGACACTGAACCGCCCTAATGTATTCCTTCTTCTCAGCCTTGGAGAAGGTAGACCTTCAAGATGATCAGCATGGTTATGGAGAAGCATTACGTTCCGGAGACTTACCATTCCTGCCGCACTTGAACGTTGCTGGGGTTGCACTTTTCGTACTGCGCGGGCTTTTGAGTGGCTTGATAGAGCTGCTGGTTGATTGCAGCGCCACCAGCCATCAGGTCCTGCTTGATGCTACCCAATCCAGCGAGGATGTCGTCAACATGGTCGAAGGGTCTCTTTTTGAACTGCGCTCGGTCGTGGGGAAGCGCATTCCCGACGGCCAAAGGCAGAAGTAAGGCGACTTGAAGAACACCCCGCATGGTGTGTCGCTTGGGAAGGAGAGGCTATGTCAAGCTCAATCTGTGGGAGCAAGCGATGTTGAAGTATGACAGGACTGGAGGAGTTGACGCCGATCTTCTGAAATGAGGCTCAACTACGGTAAAAGACGTATGAAGGACAACGGGCCTACTAGCTATGCCAAGTGCACGTCTCGGACCACTTCTTATAGGTATTCACACGACATGCAAGGACCCGTAAAAATCTCGAAGGCGAGGAGCTCGGGCACCGAGGTCCTGCATGTCAAGGATACATGTGAGTGTGCGAGGTGGCCTACTACTTTGCGTAGTAGATATTCGCATTCCAGAAGAATCCGAACAGGCGGGCATGTCCAACTGGGGAAGGTCTCTCATACTTTTCAAACTCCGTGTATAGACGGCGTCACAGCCACTGCCAACTACCTGGTACTAGGAGCGGCTGATTCGATCGGCAACAGATCCGATCGGCACGCACTATGGATGTTGTGTGTCTCGCTACTATTCGTGCATTCCCGTAGTACAGAGGGCCTGACGCCAAGGTCCGTCACATACGTCAAGTGCTCTCATGCACTGCCAATTAAAGTTCCGCGGACCTTCACCTAGCCTCCATACGTTCTTCAACATCTTAAAACCGTGAATAGTTGCGGCGTAATGTCTCCGAATACTTCGTACGACAGACCGAGAGCCGTGGAAATATCGCGTCTTCTCAGCCTGTTGTGCGCTAGGTAGCTAAAACTAGCAGGGGCGGCGCGCGCCCATCACGAACTCAGTTGTGGCGCCTCGGAAGCATGTAATATGCATAGGCAAGATTACAACGGCTGTATTACGCGATGAGCAGAGTCGTGCATAGCTTCCGCGTGTTGAGGGAAATACAAGGTGATCGACCCACAACAGCGCATGGGTAGGTTGTCCCGAGGTCGTTTCGCGACTGGCACGAGACGATTCGATCGCAATACAAAAAAAATGGCACAACCATAAACTGAGGCGTTCAAGACCAGAGTGAGAATTTGCCGGCTGTTGTGGTTGAAATTGGCTTTTACGCATATTCCACCGTCGAAAGATCTGATTTAGGCGTCCCAAACTTCGCACGTCACCCTCGCGTGGCTAAACCTCCATCCTCAATTGTTCTCGCCCCCAGACGCCACCAATATCTAGTATCTAGAATCTGACAGATGCGCCTGCAAGATGAATTCTGTGCGGAACTAGGTACTGGTCGCCGAGATGATGAGACTGAAACCACTCAACCTAGACTTGAACCGAGGCTTTTTGCCTGAGTTGGAAGATACTCTGTACAGCATGTTCATTTATCTAGGACAAAGACAATAATTAAATTAAGGAGTGTTTTACTGTACCTACTAGCAGCAACTGTCTGACTTCATTGGTCGTCCTCCAGATTTCCTACAACTGTCATTATCCACGATCAAGACAAACGTTACATTCATTGCAACCTATCTATGCCTGCGGAAATCTGTAGCTGCTAGCTCTTTCGGAACTATCAGCTCTCTGATATCAAGCTACTGGTTTGGTTCACGACACCTGACTACAGGGCTATTATACCCTCAAGTCTCGCATGATATCTGGCACGCGGGGCGCAGTATGACAGACTCATATACAGTGAGAGATCGCAATGCGACGAAGAATAGCACGCGCATGGATAGAGGGTCCGGGAGGGAACATCGTGAAGGTGTTTTCGCATGGAGGGCGCACATGAGAAGGGTGGATTGTACAGCTGCGAATGAGGACAGCATCTTACCTGCACCTCACACAAGAAAAGACTAAATAGGTCTAGAGCCTACGTCGACGTTACGTTACCTACAATGCATGTTTCTATGTTAATGTAGGCTGTAGACCTGTTCAGTGTTTTCCTAGGTTGGGGTGCCTGTGTATAGATGCATTGTGAAGATCACGCACATTAAAGTTTTCTGATTCAGATCTTACATGGTAGAATTTGTTTTTCCATCAGCTCCCGGCCTGTTATTATAGACAAAGCATCAAGCATACAGTCTAACTGTTTAACAAGTGTCCAAAGCCTTAACCGCTCTTTCGGACAACAGCAGCCCGGATCAAGACCAGACCGCAATGTGAATCAAATGCGCACCTTACTTCCTGAAGGATGCAGCTTCTTGGGGTCAGACCCAGGTTACATATGAGCTCTACATGATGTATACAGTTAACAACTTTGACATTTCCCGGATCAAGGGCGGTATCATGAGCTTGTCGCAGTGGTTTCTTAAACTGACAGCTAGTTCAAGCTTAAGTTGCCTGCTCTCATGGATGAGGTCTTCGCACTGCCTGACGGGGTATCGTTCAAATCAAGAGATGGAGCCCTGGAGACTTACTGAACATTCGTAAGTACCCCGGAGTACTGACAAAGGGTCATAACAGGACGTAAAGATACGCAACTCGATCATCGAGGAGAATAACAGTATGTGTCGCCTCTTTCCAACCATTGTGCCAGCTGAAGTGTTAGCAACACCACGAGATGTCCGGCGTGCCCCTCTCTCAACACAGTCCAGGTTGCCCCTCCACGACCACCCCGCTGTGCCCCTCGCGCCTTTCGCCCCTCATCTTTTTGCCCCTCTGATAGTGCCACAATCTACGCTTTGTTGAAATTGCCGTTTCCGGTATCATCAATCCGCACTGAAGTGTCTTGGGGATGTCGCAGACTCTGAAAGAACAACACGTGGGCATCGCGCGGCAGCAATGCACGTAAACGCAATGCGAAACAGCAAACATACATTTTGTATTCAAATAAGATGTTGATTTGTGTAAGTAGTTAGGTCCTCCATCTTCCACTAGGTCCTCCATCCTTCATCAGGCTCTCCATCCTTCATCAGGCTCTCCTACGTCATCAGGCTCTCCATCCTTCATCCGGCTCTCCATCCTTCATTAGGCTCTCCATCCTGCACTTTAATGACGAAGCCTGGGAAAATGTAAATTGTATTCTCTTCTCAATTACAGGGCAAGGCCGCCATTGCTCTTCAGTTCGCCAATCAAGACTACCGCGCGCGTCTTCCATGTCCTAGTCCTCGTCTTCAGACTCCACAAGCGGTCTCTTACGTCTTGCTCTCTTGCTCGCAGTTCCCATTGCGCTCTCCTTGTTTTCCTGAAGGTTGGCCTTCTCCGCACGAAGAAGATTTTTCTTTGCCTCAGCAAAGACTACCCGGGCAATACGCGGATTTTTCCCTTCTTCATCGGCCAATCTTTCAGTATCAAATCACAGGCAGTGTCCACTTCTGCTCTTGTCGCATCAGCGCTACTAAAGTGTTTGTTCTTGTTCAAGAATACGGCTGCGTAGCTCTTCAACAAAGACTTCTCTCTGTCGGTAAAGTCGATAGGGTAGGTGATTGAGCTCGCAGGTGGCATCGGAAATGTAGACGCCCATCGATGGGAGGCACGGATGGCTTCGTTCCAGACGACATTGATCTCTGCGATTGCTGCGGCGTCAACTGCGATTGCTGCAGCATCGACTGCGATGGCGGTAGCGTCGGCTTCGCCAGCAGTTGATACCCCTTCTTCAACACGGAAGCCCATAGCGGTAAGAAAGGGCGTAAGCATAGCAGGGGCTGTTACGGGTTCGACGCGTAGTGCTGTGAACAGCCTTTGGTAGGTCTCTGCGTAGTTGTAGGTTGCTGTGATGGCACTTCGCGTACTCGCAACGATGGCGACATGCTTCCTCACAGGGCTGAGTATATGTGAGAGATCGTCTTCCTTAGGCTTATGGGTCGCAACTAGCGGGGAGTCGAGGAGTTCAAGCGACTCTATGATGCATACTGACAGCTGCGCTGCAAATTAAAATGCTAAGAGCAGACCGTTTGATGTGGATGTGTAAGCGACCTTGGAATTCAGGAATGCGACGCAGCAGACATGCAAAGAATATAACATCATTATCCTATGTAGTGTATTAACAAAAAAGAATGCGTCCTTAACTCAGAGTAGGGCCTGGTCTTGGTTCGGGCTGGTTCTTGTTGCTGTACCTTACTGCGAAGACGTACAAAAAAGAAGTGTCGCTTTTGCACATACACACAATCTTTCCCTAAGACTTGAGGTCGGCAAAAAGAATGGAATGCTCCCTGCCAGATTCGCTAACGTAACGGTTAGTGCTACGATTCGAACCCTCGGTATCGGAGTGAATACTTACAACTGGCGGCCTTCGGATATCTATTGCTGAGAATAGTCATACTCTATGATATGAGACCGACGTGATAACCGACTACACTCGTGGGGTATTAGTGTTTGTTGCTTAGAACGGTGCTGAGTTGCGACTTACCCAAGGAAGCTTAGTAAGCTGATAACTCATTTGATGGAAATTTCCAAAATTAAACAGGATATATTGACGTTTATTGTTGAATAGGCAGTGTTCAAACGTGGGTAAAGGTCGATGATTTCGTTGGTGGGGCTGAATAGAACATTGGTTGGCATTAGAGGTCTGCAGACTAGTGTGCGTGTAGAAACCAAGCGGGGTAGGTGAACCATGGTAAGCCATGATCGTTTATACCTTGGAGAACATTAGAATTATGCCGTATCGCGTCAAATCTACATAGCTGTACAGACTCTACCTTCCGTATTATAAGTAGCACAGCACACCGTAACCGTGACGCCTCGTCGTAACGTAGAAATCGAGCAATGCCAAAACGCCGATAGCAAGTCGACCGTCCACACCATATTACTTCATTCGATCAGAGACTATGGCCCAAGTCGTTGCCCTCCATCCGGAGTTCTATTACTCAGCGGCACACTCGTTGTTGGCAGTACACCGTATCGGCCGTACGTCTTTTGGTCGACACTGACGTAGTGCGGTAACCTTCCAAGCAAGTTCAGCTTGGTCTCAACCCATCTCAGTATCTTCTCGTGCGGTACGAGGAACTTGATATATCCGGAAGCCCAGAGGTAGCCGAGACCGGCGCCGCAAAGATGGCCAACTAGACTGACGTAGGGGACGAGGATGCTGGTCAGGACAATGAGGATTAGGGGCGTCGTCCAGGTGGGAATTTTGTATGGTCCGACGCTGCGAAGAATTAGTTGTTGAGTCGGAAAGAGGGGTCGTGTGATTGTACCTGAAGTACGGATTCGCCTTATGTGTCTTCATTACTTCTGCCGAAAGAAGGAGGAACACCCACACACTGTTACTGTCAGCATGCCGTTATACGGTCTGACAGATCCATCTGGCATACCTCGCGCCCATGACTGAGGTGTTACTCCTCAGTACATACTTTTCCAACAATGTGTACACGCCCCCGGGTATCGTTCCAAAAGCTGCCGTCTGGTCAGCTTAATATCCATACATGTCACCCAGTTGATATCTTACGCCCAGTGAAGAGCGCCAATGTAACGAGTGTTCCGTATTCGGACTCGAATCGCTCGATGAGTGGCGTTACGGCGACGAGGTTGAAGATCATGTGGATAAAGTTCCAATGAAGGACGGGAAACAGATTGAGTCGGTGCACTACGAGTGTATTGTATTAGCATTATGTTCATATTGGATCAGACGAAAGTCAAGTGCAACATGTCTCCTGCTACGTTATCCTCCGTCTTCAATGCCAGCTCCGTGGGTTCCGCGCCCCATGATGCGCCCACGCCGCGATGCAAGACCAGAACACAAGCACTGTGGCCGACCACGCTACCCTGGTAGTAACAAAACAAACATACTCTGCGTCAGATCCATTTTCGCCGGCTCCAGGGCGCCAAAGTCCCTAATCCACGGGAAGGGAATTGTGGCAACCCATAGTCCTACAATGGCGGCGACTAGCACTTTGGTGCAGAACGGCAGGCGCAGGATATACGATCGTATACGGGCAGGGCTGATCTGGGGAATCGAGGTCATAGGCATGGTCGGAGCGAGCACGCCGGGCGTTGGTAGAGTTGTTATGCAGGCGCGTGTGTTGCTAAGAGAACAGACACGAAGATTACTATGGGACTAGGGTCCAGAGCCGCGCTAGTGACGATCCTCCCGCTGGAGTCGACTTAGCACCTTCCCAGACGGATATGTGGGATGCTGGGCGAGGGCAAGGCCACGACCCGGTTTTCGCTTTCTGTCCTCTTACATGACATGCCATTGACGTCTCAACATGGCGCTCTTGTGTGAGTTCTGATCTGGCGGTATGCGACGGACGAAAGCTGACATGTAAAGCCTCGATACTGGCACTCCGGCAAGATAAACGCCTGCTCAAGCTACCGCCTTACCTTTCCGCGCTCTGCATCATCATTGGAATAGGGTGGCTGCTGGTTCTTCCGCTAAACGACTACTCGCGCAGGACATATGTCTCGGAGAACGCGCTCTTGCCTGGACAGGTACACACCTACTTTACCGGAAGCGAGCACAACGTGTTCCGCGCCTATCGCCATGAGGTCCATGGATTGATAGAGAAGCCTGTCGCCGAGTGCGTATACACTACATAATTTACGAAGAGAGACTAACGAGACAACAGGCGCTCACAGCGACTCGAAGCCATCTTCCGCGAACAGAACCTCAAAGTCGCAACCCAGCACTACAACTACACCGTCTCGAACCAAACAATCGCAAACGAAAATGTCTACGCTATCCTCCAGGGGCCCCGCGCGGATGCCACCGAAGCAATTGTGCTGATTGGAGCTTGGAAGAACATGGCAGACGAGGTCAACAACTCTGGTGTCGCGCTGGTTCTCACACTGGCGCGCTACTTCAAGCGCTGGAGCCTGTGGAGCAAGGACATCATCTTGCTCATTCCCGGCGACAGCACGATCGGATCCCAAGCTTGGGTCGATGCATACCACGAGGCCCACGATACGCGTTACGTCGAGAGCCTGAAGATCAAGAGCGGGGCACTACAAGGAGCGGTCGCAGTCGACTATCCCGCTGGTCCATGGGGTCATCGATACGACAAACTGCATGTGGTGTATGATGGCATAAACGGTCAACTTCCCAACCTGGATCTGTTCAACACCGCGGTTCAGATCGCCTCCAGCCAAATGGGCATCGGCTGTGTGATCCAACGGATGTGGGACCACAAGGACTCATACAAGGAGCGTCTTCAAACTATGCTTCGAGGCATGCTCTCGCAAGGCATTGGCCATGCGACCGGTCCCCATTCATCCTTCATTCCATACCACGTTGACGCAATTACACTGGTCACAGTCGGAAACGGCTGGCACGACGAGATGTCACTGGGCAAGACGATCGAGTCGCTTTTCCGAAGCTTGAACAACCTCCTTGAACACCTGCACCAGAGTTTCTTCTTCTACCTTTTGTTGCAAGACAAGCGTTTCGTCAGCATCGGCACATACCTTCCCTCGGCCATGCTCATTGCGTTCAACTTCAGCATCGCAGCCATGGCATTGTGGGTAAAGAGCGGACGTACTACGAAGCCCATTGGTAACCCCGCAGCCACGAACCCCAAAAAGGCTCCCATCGAGAAGCCATCTCCCGCAGACACCAAGGCAAAGGATCCAGAAGTCAAGGAGGAATCTGAAGGTGAAAAGAAGCCTGAACCCGAACAACCAGCAACAGAACTCGTCGAAAAAGACGGCTCCCTGGCCATTGTCCCCGTAGCCAGCACAACGATAACAGAACGCCACCTCCTCTTTCCCCTCATACTCGTCCTCGCCGCCCACACCTCCGGTCTGATTCCCCTTTACCTCTTCAGTAATTGGGACGCCGACCACCTTCCCAACCTCTTCCTCACAGCCTGCAATGTTACCACGCTCGCCCCGCTCATCATAACCTTCCTCTTCTGGTGGTCTGCTCCTGATGTCCTTACCCCGCAAGCTCTCTGCCTATTCCAGTGTTTCTCGTTGCTGCTACTAGGCATGTTCCTTGCGGCACTGGCGACACTGAACTTTAGTTTGAGTATTTTGGTCGGTGTGCTGTGTGTACCGTTGAGTTATGTGCGCAGGAGTGATAACAACAGCATCACAGGGCTGCAGATGTTGATTTTGGCCATGACAAATCCCCTCCTTGTTGTGCAAACTGCAACCAAGCTGCTGGGAGTGGATCTTATGGACGTGCTGATGCAGAGTGCCATTGGATGGCACATATGGGGCATGTGGACGCAGGTTGTTGTTTGGTTAGTCTGGTTCCCTGCGTGGTTGGTGGGAGCGTTGGTGGTTTCCACTGGATTCTGGCAATAGTGGTCAGATGGATTGTAGGGTACGTCATGTATAAGTAAGAGAGTTGTACGTGGTGTCATGAGTCTTTTCGTTCGTTGACCATCTATGGCCACTATCTATGATTACATCGTATGCACGCGTGCTGCATCAACTGATACATGTCACCCGTCAAGCATTGACATGGCTTCCTCTGGAAGGCGAGTCCTCGTCGTCTAGTCGAACGTGCACCTTGTTCAAGCAGCCCAAACATCCTTGCCGACACCCTCGATCCAGTTGCCCAGTTGGTTGACACTGGCGTCCCACTCTTTCAACCTCGACCTCATGCCCTCAATCTGCTTCATGTCTAAAACCTTGGGCTGTACCCAGTTGATGCGTGCAATCTCCGCAACCTGGTCAATTTGTCCCTTCAGCAGTCCCAAGCTCAGTGCCTTCATAATCAGGTGCTCGATCTCGTTCGGTTGTACCTTGGTCTCTTGGGAAATTTCGGAGAAGGTCATGGCGCGGTCGTGGGGTGGGCGACGGAACACGGTCTCTGTGAGGGCGGATAGCGAGATCTTCTGGTAGAGGAAGGTCTGGTGCTCTTTGAGGAGCGGGACCTTGGTGATGTTGTTGGAAAGCACGTCATATGCCATCAAATCGCCGCGGTTGAAGGCGAAGAGGAGATCGCGGAGCCACGCATGTGGAGTGTTGACGAGCGAGTCGAGGATGGGGTGCAGCAGCAACTCTCCGAAGTTGTAGATGGAATCTGAGACAAGGGCGGCAATACTGAGGTCGTAGGCGCGAGACTGGCGTTCGCGCAGCTCCAGGTCGTTGAGGTCGACGCAGGCGAGGAACAGCAGGGCGTTCTTGTAGTATGCGGCGAACTCGTGCTTGGATTTGTAGTACTCTGCGCTTGCGCGGTAGAATGAGGCATGCACGACGGTCTCGACCGAGTCGAAGGTGTCCAGTATCTGCTCGCACTCGTCGAGCTTCTTCTTGGCACCCTCCTCGTCTTTTAACCGTAGCTGTATGCTGGCGGCGGCGACTGTGGCGTATACGTAGGCGTCTTGTGAGGCGGGCTTGTTGACGCTCTTTGCGAGGTCATTGACAAAGGTGAGGCGTTCCTTGTCGTCTGTGAGAGTCAGCTGCTGTATCTTTTCACCCCGCATGGCGCATCCTACCCTTGTACTGTGAAGCTGTGTTGAGTCCCAAGGTGACGAGCTTCAGCTGGTTGAT